CCCCTCAGCTGATGACTCCACATACTGTAAAGCTCAGGTGAGCTCTCGCCCCAGGGGATAGTGTGGACACCAACATGTAAGGACAGGTTTGCTAACTGCTGTTTACGGGAGAGGCCTCAGGTTTTGGCTGGTAGGGACAGGCCGAGGCCTCCTCTCAAATTCCAGGTAAGGATCTGACCAGAGGGCAGGGCAGCGTTAAGGCAGGACACGGACGGCCCCAAGCGATGGGAGAGACAGCATTTCACACTCGGCTCATCTCCCATACGCTTGAGCACCCGGAGCATTTATCCGCAGGCCAGTCTCCTCCTCCACAGCCCCACTTCCCTTCACGGGTTGTCACAACAATCTCCAACAACCAAAACACGGGTGCCACTGCGCCCAGCCAGGGCTGGTCACTCCGGGCTCAGGCACTGCTCCTGCCTGGGCTCCAGCGAGCCCCGCTGCCCGGAGGGAAGGTGCGGCTCCGCCGCAGGCTCTCTCCAGCAGCAGAGCCAGTTGAAGAGGTTCCTACCCCACCCTGTCTCCCCACCTCAGACCGCCGCCACCTCTCCGGTCTCGTCAGGTTTGCTGGTGGGCAGCTAGCTGGCTAGCCCAGCACAGACAACAATTTGGATTAGGTGGCCCCCCCCGCTGCCAACTTAAATCTAGGGCACGATCCACAATCTCCTGAAGCAGCATTCAGCTCAGGGGCATCAGCTTCCGAGACGCTAACAGGGGGAGGGAGAGAACCTCTTAAACCAGCTCTGCCAGGCCGGCAATCCTAATTTGGAACCACACCCTGAGATACAGACTGCTGACTTGGCAGCAGCGGCAAGACCACGATGGGCAGGATTTGTCCTTAGGGTAATGACACCGTCCCGCTATGCTCCCCCAATTCTGAAGCGATCCAGTGCTGCTGCCCTTCACTCCTTACCCCGAGCGTTGTCACTGGAAGTGCACGGCGCCACCTTGGTGATGTGCTAATCCCAACTTGTAATTCGCAGCGTCTTGCTAGTCTTAGTTCACAGTAAAGGCCTGGCAGAATTAGCCCCAGAACAGACAGAAGGCAAGATTTCCTCACACTTCCAGCACCCAGGAATACTCCGTGATTCCCCTGCAGAAGGACGGGCAGACCCCAGCCTCGTGTCCTGCTGCCAAAGCCTTCGGCAGCTCCATGCATTGACACAGATCTGGATGGGTAAAGTGGCTTTGCGTGCGGTGAAGACTGGAGTAAGAGCGAAGCCCCCGCTCAGCGGAGCCCCACGCAGGCACGCCTGGCCCCGAGCACACCCTTCGGAAGCGTTGGGTCAAACGGCCCCTCCGGCAGCAGTTTCCAGAGACGTACCGGCCAGTTTGCTAACAGCTCCCCGAGCACCACCAGGAGATTCCTGCCCTGCTGCCCCACCTCGCGCACGATAACCTAACACAGATCTAACCTCACCAAAAAGTTAAGTTACATAGATGCAACAGTTTCTCCTCAGTCTCAGATGACCTCTCCGAGATCCTGGTGAGGCAGCGAGGGGCTGACAAGGTACTCTGGGACAAAACTCTCTGGACAGCCTGAGCCCAGCAGAGTACCCCACAGCACCAGACCGACTAAACTTCTTTTTCTCCAGAGCTGTTAGTCCGTAGCCAGAGCTGCTCGCGTTGCCACCCTTGCCTTTAAGAAGTCCAGGCTCCAGCTCCAGGCGCCAGCGTGCCCTTGGCCTCCTCGCGGGGAGCTGAACAGCTTGGGGACACGGGCTGGGTGCGACCACCCAGTGACAGTCAGCGGAAGACTTCCCAAGTCTCGGAGAGGGACCATCGCATTGTTAGTGCCAGGGCTGGACTGTCACTCAGGCTGCAGGATACAATAGAGCATTTCAGCTCCTCCATTAAGGGCCTGCAAAACACGCATCTACAGCTCATAAAGCCGGCACCTCCAACCAGTCCCCAAAGTAGTGCCTCATTATAGAGCCGAGGAGCAGAAACATAGGCAGGCTTAGTAGAAAACCACTCTGCAGTGCCTGACAAACCCCATCCTCCGGTACTCACGGTGCAGGGAGGCCCAGCTGAATCTCTGGGTGAGGAACACAGAGGAACATCTCCTAACCCGCCGCTCCGCACATTTTCCCCGCTCACGCAGCATCGTCCACGGGCTGCCTTCCCCTACTGGTGTCAGCTGCCCAGAGCTTGCCGGGACACAGCTTCTTCCTCCGTTTAATTGTTTCAGATGGGCACAAGACATTCTCCCAACGATATCCCTGCGTCCAGACCAACTCACCCAGGCCTTTATCAACTTGGGAGTCGTGGGTGCAGAGCCTGAACTAGGAAGCAAGCACAGTTAGAGCAGCGCGACCCACCTAATCTAAGTGTCATTATACTACGCAGGGACGCGTGGACTGGCAGAGAATTCTTGTAGGAACGCGACTACATCTGAAGCAGCGGTGAATTGCTCCTCAAAACCCACATCTCCCACCTATACGGACAAATCCGTTCAGAAAAACATGAACGGATCAGATTCTTGTCGACCCAGAGGAAGGTAACAGTACTGCTGGCTAAATAAAATAACAATAAACGCTCAGGACTTCCTCTACGAGCTGATGGAAGCCAGCCTGATTTTAAGGCCAGGGTGACACACCAAAAGATGCTGTTGGTGTAATTACCCTGGCACACCAGATTGCAAGCTTCTCTTGCCATCTCGGGCCACTGATACCATCAAACCATGCTACTTGCCCATACAATTAATTCAGCCACTATAAACTATTCTGGCCAAGGTTGTTTGGCTGGTAGGACTACTACGCTTGGATTTTTTTTTTTAAATATATATTCTTTTGCCATCACACCCGCATTGATCCCCAGTCACGCACAAGAAGCACAGCTTACAGTAGCAGAAACGCGCCATGCTACCAACTGCCCCACCTAGAACTTTTAATGTAGGCATATTAAAACCAACTTCCAAGACCAAGGCATACGTAGGAGTAGGATATTCAAATAAGTCACACGCAGCACTTTTGTCTTCCTGGATAATTCACCCATGATACCTTGTTCTGCAAGGGCCAGAAACACTAGCGAAAAGAATAGCTCCCCACGTTGCAAAGCATGCATCTCAAAAAAAAATAAAATAAAAATCATCTTCTAAGGGTCCTTCAACAAGGAAGCGTCACTGACACAGCAAGAGAGCGTAACAAGCTGGAAATTCCCAGGAAAAGCGAAGCAGGAGGCATGAACTAAGCCTCACCTACCACACAGGGGTCTCACCTCCTCCTCTCGGCTGCAGGCCAGCAGAGACAACATGCACGAGGCCGCAGAAGCCTAGGTGAGCCTCATCCTCTGCTTGCTGCCCATGTGCCCTCCCAAGCCCCTTAAGCACGCAGCTCATCGGTGTGCAGCCATTTATCCAGCTTAGCACACTCTGCTGGAGTCCAGGCCACCTACACTAGGACAGCAACTCTTCCTGATGATTTCTATTGGCGCGACTGTAAGCATTTTTAAACCGGCAAGTTCCTGGCCGCTAGTCCCCCTCACCTGCCTTGTTTTTGTCCGGCCGTTTTGGGTTACCTCAGCTGGTTGAAGTGTAGCTAAGATCGTAGTTTAACCAAAACCTAAAGCTGGCATCGCCTCCAAGAGAAGCTATCCTGCCACCCTGACTGCTGGCCATAGAAATGGTCACTTCCCAGTCAAACCAGTGCCCTGAGCTGCGGGCCGTGCAGCTGCGGGAACAAGCAATGACAAGGAGGGACAAGGGAGGAGGGGGGACTGCTGCTTTTGGCAGCATCGCCAAATTAAAGCATTCACCAAAGCACTTGGAAAAACAAACCACCTTGAAGGGCCCACAGGCGTATTACAGTTTGGTGGTGGGTTTGTTTTTGGTTTTTTTAAGTACCTTCTCAAAAAAGACAAGATTATAAACCACTTCAAGAGTCGCTTCAGGTTCCCGAAGCGGGCTAAAGCGGCTGACTATAAAAGTATAGATGAGTATCACCCAATCATCTGGTGTGAGAATCCTCTCTGCAACAAGTAAACATGCAATAGACACCGAGCAGTGCCAGAAAAGGAGCACAACAAACCACGGCCTACACGGTATCCTCCTTTCCACAGGGACCAGTGCTGGAATAGCCATTTCTACCCTCACAAGAGGGTTTCTGTCCCAAGGCCACCTACAAGGCTACAACTCCCCAGCACCCTTTCTATGGCCAGGCACCCGGCAGCAACAAAAGAGCAACAAGAGCCGCTCGCTCTCGAGGGCAAAGCTTAATGCTGAGTACCACGCTGCCTCACGCCAAATGGTTTCAGAGTATTAAAGGATAAGGATTTACTTTTACAGACAGCACCTTGACGGTGAGGGTACACGTATTGCTGTGCCTCAGAGAGGAACTCCATCACAGCCTCAGCTATCACAGAGCTGACACTCGCCCTTCCCAGGGGGTTTACAACTGCCTCAAAACAAGGCAAAACCGACCTGCAGGAGGCACAGCAGCTTCCCTGGGATCTCTGGGAATACAATCTCAGACTCTCAGAGCAGCTGCTCCCAAACAGCTCACAGTTACAGCCCAACTCCCAGACCAGCAGCTTCACGCGGTCCCCCGAACAGCAGTGCAAACGTCAGACGAGCCAGAGCTCCTGACAGGGCCTGAGTAGGAGCCGACTTTTCGGGACAGCTCCCTCCGAAAGAAAACACCCAGAGAAGACACGAGCACGTATGCACAGGCACAACCACATCTGAGCTTGAAGCTGGTTTTCTCCGATACTTCTATCCAGCAGCTTTGCAAAGCATCTTACCCAGGTCTCGGCCTCCAACTCTCCCCTCTGTCAGAGTTCAGAGGCCAAGCACCCTTCACTAGGGCAAACTTTGTGACACAAACAGGACCCACGACACCATCTAACCCACCGCCGGCTGAGACAGCACCTCTGGGGAGGCTGCAGTGATCCACCACAACGCTTTTTTGGGTTGTCTAAACCTGTTGCCAGTAAAAGCCCCTTCTTTCTTCAGTTGCAACAGAACCAAGAGCAGAATATGATTGTTTAGGGCCAATACTAACCAGTCTTTGGCTGTAGCGGATCCTTTCTTCCTCGGGCTCCATCTCCGACTCTTCTGAAGAGAGCGAGAAGGACACTCCAGGACTGCTGTCTTCCTCCTCTTCCTCCTTTGAAGTCAGAGGGAAATAGTGAAGCAGGGCACACAGACACAAGACACCTACATCCCTCATTTCTGGGCTCATTTTGAGGCCCATTCCACGCCACCGTGCAGGGCTAAGTGAACACAGTGGATGAGCCCACCTCGCCTTCTAACACTCCCATTCTAACTTTAGGCATGACCTAGGGGAAATAACTTTACCAGCTGTTCTGTAACACAACATGAGCTGCAGGTCTCAGATCAGGCAAAGGCCTCTGCTCCACGCTACTACCAGCACAAGCAGCAGCTCCGTTGGCCCACACTGCAATACGGGACAGGCAAGCTGCTGTCAAACGCTCGACGGCAGTCGGGGAGCAGCCTGGTTTCCCCAGAGTACAAGATCAGGCATTTAGAGAACCAGCTCCTCCAGACAACCCAACTGCCGTCCTCTGGATATCCCATACCGTGGCACTAGGGAGAGGCTACACAGGCACAGAGCATCTCCCGTGAACAGGGAAAGCGTACGGGATCTCTCCTACGCACGGTGCTTGCGCATGGCTGCGGGTAGGGGACTAACTCCCGTCTTGAGAAGACCTACATGCTCAGATCTCAAAATCTGCCACCTTGTGACACTACACAATAATATGGGAAAACCTCCCAAGGCTTCAGATGGCACCTAAACTTTTTTTTTTTTTTTTTAAAGGAACCGAACGAAACCCAAAGCCTAGGTATATCGCAGCTCTTAATCCCAAGACCATGCCTATGCCAGACCTTCAGGGAAGGAATCCGCCACCCCGTGTAGTGTTACAGAACCGCTACCGTAGCGTGGAGAGAACTTGTTTCATCCTGCTCCTCCCCGACCCCTCCGAGCAGGGTTTGACAGCAGAGCGCTTCCACCCCGCCAGCAGCTCCCCGGGCCCCGCCGCCCGCACCGCTCGGGACCGGGCTTCCCCGCTCAGCTCAGGCAGCCCGGCCCGTTTCCCTGCGCTCGCTAAACTCTGTTTATAAACACCCGGACAACCGGAGCGCAGCAC